TGGGCATAAATGGGTTAACATATTTGCGAGCGCCAGAGTCGTTAGCGACAACGAACTTGTTCTCGGACGTTCCTGAATTGTATCCGGAAAGCAATGAGCGTGGCTCGAGTGCCTGAGATGCCGGGTTCGTCAACCATCCGGTGGGTCAGCAGCGGAAAAGGGACGTCCACCTAACTACTAGGGGCCGCGTGACGACATAAATCCGTATTGATGAGCCGCACAGAGTATGATTCACTCTTCTGGAAATAGAAAATTACGTATGCAAGATCTCTGGCTCGGCGCCGCTCAACAATGCCGATGGCGGGATAAACGGTTCATGACAGCGTTCTTAACCCGCGCACCGACGGGGGTCTGCGCCAACTTAGTACCGACGGGGGGGGGGGGGGGGGCGGATGACCGCCCCCCCCCCTGAGATCTCGAGAACGAAGCAAGATAGCGACAAGCGGTAAACGGCATCGGATACGCACGGTCAAGATCTACAATTTTTACTAAGGTCATTTTCAGGTCAGGTCAAAGATGACGTCACAGGGGTCGAAAAAGTCAAAATGGCGGCGCTAAATATGGAGAGAGTTTTTCTCGAATAACTTTCGAATTAGTCAAGATAGGAACAAACTAAGGGCATCATCGTGATCCTCTCGTCAATCCGCATCGAATGATATATATGTTGACCTCGAAAGGTCAAGGTCAAAGGTTGACCTCAGGTCACGTGACCTCGAGGTCATCATGTATATCATTCGATGCGTCTTGACGAGCTGAACACAATGAGACCATCCACGCGTCTGTATCTTGTTCCTGTACGGAGTTATTGGCCAAAAACCTTTGGTGACCTTTGATGACGTCACATGACCTCACAGCTGCCCAACAGCAAAACAGACCTCAAGGTAGTGAAGGTTGATCGTATATGAAGTCATGTATGGTATATGGGGCCATTCCGACCCGTTTTAGTGGTAAAAACAGGGAGTTGATTTTTCCCCCATTGACTTATAATGGGGAGGTCGCGAAATTGACCTGACCTTAGGTCACCGATATCAAAATTCCGAGATATACAAATTGTAGCTACTAATGACCTAATAACATCCTGCGACTTTCAAAGGCCTCCGACATCTACTGTAGCTCTGGCACGGTGACAAAGTTGCAAAAAAGTGACTTGAGGTTGGGTCATTCAAAGTGACCTGGTGACCTGACCTTGAAAGGTAGGAGGTTCAAACTTGCACACCATGTGTAAAATTGATAAGGGAATAGTCATACCAAATTTCGCGGCGCTCCCGCTATTCGCGAAAAACCTCAGGGGGGGGGGGGGGGCGGATATCCGCCCCCCCCCCCGTCGGTGCGCGGGTTAAAGATCGTTTTTAGCATGTGACGCGGGTTAGTAAATGCATCCTTTCACGTACACAATAACATTCAAGGTTATGTGGATTACTAACATGGATTTACCAACAACGTAAGGCTGTTCTGTCAGATTAAGATGTCACTGAGCTGAGCCCTGCAATATTTATTTTTTGCCTCTGATAAAACTACCGTGATGAAGGACTATAAAACTATTATCATATTTATATTAATGTTATCTAGCATAACGATCCAGCACTGCATTGGCCACGGTAGCTCGCCAGATTGCATGACACACGGGGGCAAAATATCGCTACTGGGTATAGTGACCGGAAGTCACGAGAAGCGGACCACGCGATCAACATCTTGGCACAGCATCTGGCACTGCTCTGAACGTTACATAACAGCTTCTAAAAACGGCAGAAAATACGGAAGAATACCAAACCACTGCATTCCCAAGATAATATTTGGATACTGTTTAGTTAAATCCACTTACACCACGCCAGTCTATTTCAAGCCGAACTGAGCCCAGCTATGCGCAATCTTATTTTGAACCATGCTCGAGCTCTAACCTAGCTCTCCGCGCTCTGCCAAACCGCCGGGCTGCTTTATCCGGAGGCTAGCGTCCGGCTGCCTTGCAGGCCCGTGTCCTGCCCTAATGAAATTTCAGACTGAGCTGTGCCCAGCGGACCGGAATCAGCCGCGGCGGTGCGGCGGTGTAATTTTGGCCCGCTTCCTGCCGGCCGGGCGGTGGGACGACGTCACCGCCCGGCCCGGAGCTGCACGTACCGGCTGCGGTCCCGATCGGGGCAGGGGCACGGAGCACCGGGCACACGGCCGGGTTAGCCGGGTCAGTGGGGTCAGTCAGTCCACCAGCCGGCGACGGGTGCGATAGCTGAGATATGAAGAGAAATGCAGTCAATATGTCGCGCTACATGTCAGGCAACCGGAGCCATATATAGCTGCTGGACAAACTGGTGGCGTTTTACAGGCAAGGCTGACAACTGGGAAGATGCAGTGCCGATCTGGCACGTGGCTGTTTCAATGCGCTTGTCGTCCGGCCTTTCGACGACTCGGGTCTGTCGCCGCTGGATACCAGACTGGACGCAGTGATTGATGGTCAGCGCATTCTGGCGGATTCTCCACAGCTGCTCAAATCACAGCCAGTATGCCAATAATTCGAGGAAAAGACACCCTCCCCCAACCACAGCCAAGGCTTAAAATCAAAAGTCTCTACAGGCCAGCCCGTCGACCTGAGCCAATATCCTGGCGCTGCGTAGGCCTCCCAGTCGCGACCGAAGGCGCCCAATGTCTATGCTGCGCCTTGAGACGGGACAGATCCACAAAGCATGATCACTTAAACACAAGATAAGTAACATCACGACCACAGTGATGTTAGCTAGACCATCAGTAAGAACAAAGCAAGAGACCGCCATGCACGAGTTCAAAACACCATGAATAGTCATGACACGGTCCTTACAAGCCACGTTACACCTTCCGTAGGCATTTTCGTTACACCTTTCGTAGGCATCGTAGACTTCCCTGCAATCAGTTATGCCGTACGGAGTTTCCAATCAACCCCCGCCAATTGCGGTAGCTGATTCAGCCACGGTGACAGCAGCAAAACGACAGCCGCGGGGACAGTGGAGGGGACGGCGGCGGCAGTAACTAACTAAACCGCAGACCGATGATAAGCCGGCCACTGTCTCCGGTAATCCGCGTGCCGACGGCGGCGGACCGGGCGGGGGAGGCCACTCAGCCGGTAGCTGATCCAGGGGGCGCCGGTCTGCGGCCGAGCCCCCGACTGTCCAGTAGCCACAGCTCCTCCGATATGGTCTATGGAGCACATGAGCGACGACAGGGTGGCCACAAACGATGGCAAGGTAGCCAGCACTAGCGGTGTAAGCTTGAGGTTGTCGATCTACCAAATGACCTCAGATGACGATGCGAAGGAGGCACCTGAACAACTACGGTAGACTAGCCCCCGGTTCGCTTGATTAACTTATCAGATGGATTACCTTAGTAAGCAGCCCATGTGGAATCAACTAAGCCACCAAACGACCACAACGATATCCGCCTTCCTTTCATCCTTGAACAAAAAGCGTTGTTCTATTAGATCAATCTCTTTGCAATTTTTTATTTTCTCCCAAGTCTGCCAGTCAAAAACACCTCACTACCTTTCACCCCTTCCGCGTACGTACTTCGGCGTACGGGTGACAGCTGTCACAACCTGTCACCTCGCCTGTCACACCAGCCGCCACCTTCCTCCTGTGAGCCGGCACGCCACGCGGCCTGTCCGACAGACAAAAAACCACCGAGCACGGCGCGTGACGCGGCGTCTGACGCGGCGGCGTCGGTACCGAGACAGAGCGACAATGCCGCCACGACGGAGGGTTTCCACGAAAACCGCACCGCACGGCGGTCGGCTGGATAGGTAGAGGGGGACGTATGGACAGACGGCGGCCTTGGCTCAGAGCTGAGGAGACGGCATGTGAGGACCGATGGTGGCGCTACGCACGGAACTGCACTGCTACCTGGCGGACGTTTTGTGAAACTTGACCGCAAAAATGATACGGTAAAAGTTGCTTTGTGGTCTGGATGCCGACCAGCCGCAATAGTCACTTAGGTGGCATAAGCATTTTCGCTTGGGTGTGAACAACTGCGTGAAATATGCATTGTGCGATGTGCAGCTCGCTTACTACCCAAAGAGAAACTAATAAAGGTCGCACACGCTATTTACAGAATTTCCAGACTTAACAGTACGCTGATAATTCAGCTGTCAGTACAGACTTGCCTGGTACAGTACACTTCAAGGGACACTCCCACCTTAACATTAGTTTTGAGTTGAGATAGCCAAATTGGTGGCCATGGCCTGCAAATACCGGTTTGGGCACTCACAACATCGACAAATGCTTTAATTCGGAGATATGGAATTTCAAACTTGCAGTTTTCGGATTCTAAGGGGCTAGTGCATTGGTATGCCCCCTTAGAATTTGTGACGTCAGCGGAGATCTAACGATTTTTAAATCTTTTACTAAAACGTTTGGTAGCACGCGGTGGTATATGCTGCTTTGCGCGCAACAAATGCCGCACTTTCAAATAAAGTCGCTAGGAACAGCGGAGATCCCAAAAAGTAAACAAAAGTAAAAGTCTAATATCTTGAAAACCGGTGAATATTTTTCGATGAAATTTGGTAGATATTCGTTTTCGCTCTTTCTGAACCGAGCGACATCACTTTCGTGCCAATTCATTAACTTTTTTGAAGGTGGGAGGGTCCCTTTAATAACGCCACACACCATAATTAAAAAAAACACACACACACACATGATAAGGATAGAAGAAAAGAACACGAAGGTAGATCAACGACTACGACAGTCGGTTATGACCAACTCCTCTAAATACTCATCACACAGTAAACAGCAAACAACAAACATAACAACCGACAGATGAAAACGAAACAAACACGAGTAAAGCTCACTAGCATTGATCAACACAAACACTATATCCAGACAATGACACGGACGCATTTATCATAGAACATACATTCTACAATGACATTCCTTATTCGATTATTTTAATACACCATGCCCTGCCCTTTCGGCGTCAAAGGCACCCACTTCATCCCCCACTCCCCACCGACCCACCTCTTTCACCTCTGCAAACCCTGAACGTACCAGTTCCCAGTCGATGGACTTGAAGAAGGGGTGGTTGACGATGTCCTGGAAGCCGGTCTCCGGGTGGCAGCCCAGCCGCTCGCCGGGGTTCTTGTTGAGGAATCCCTTCAGGATGCTGCACGCCTTCACGGAGAGCGACCGAGGGATGCGGATCGTCTTCTCCAGAATCACTGGCGGACGGCAGCGGAGGGAGGTAAGTCAGGTGATGGCCCTAGAGAAAAGGTGCCGGGTCTCACGGAGCTGGGGCGATGGTGCTTGGGAAGGGCGACGGGCCTAGGGGGGAGGTGATGGTCCTGATGGAGGGGCCATGACAATCAGAGACACGTGACGCCGCGATGAACACACCATTAGCGGCCGAGACACTCGAGAAGGCGGCCGATGTCTCCTGCGGCGTGCCAAAGCGTCATCTGGCAGCCGCCTATACGTGAGTTATGGTAACCTTGATTACATCCTAGCGTTCAACAGTTCAAAGGTTGCAACATATAACCATAGGTATTAAAGCAAAACCTCGCTAAAATGTAGCTACCATGATGAAAACAAACTGAGTAGACGAATAAGACAAAGAAAACTGAGGTTGCCTTTGATCCATCAAACATGTCCTAGTGTTTGCAAAAAGATTAAAGGACCAGAGATTATAACACACGGTTTGCTGGCTGAAGCTATTAACAAAACTTACAATTCAAAAGTCAGCTTGCCGAAAAATGGGGCAGGATTAGACAGCAAAATGGCGGATCTGAAAACATATTCACTCCAATGCCACGTGGGGCACGCTAAAATCGCCAGTACAGCGAACTTGCACACAATCAGTAGGCCCGTCCAACTTCTGTAATCGGGGCGAGTAGTGTCGGGGTTATATCAAACAACAAATCCCGGCTGGCTAGCCCGCTTCGCTCCGAGCTACGAGCGAGTCTCCCGCTGCCCTAACGTCAGTCTCACGGCACACCACGTCACAAAGTGACGTCACATCACGTCACGTCACACAGCTGACCGGAGACGTGCGCAATGAGCGCCCGTCGGAGGTGGGGCGCCATCGCGGCGGTCAGCTCTGGCGAGGAGAGGCTGGCGCCCAGCCCGGCCGGCCAGCACCCTGTCACGTCACAGCGGCGGACCGGCGCGGAGTTCACGAACTGGTTAAAACAGAGCCCGGGACACTCTGCAGCCTTTTGGACCCCCTGTGGTTCCCCACAGCCCTTCCCAGAGGCCCAAGCAGTCTCCTGCAACCGACTGTGCCCCCACGCTAGCAAGCTGCAACCTCCTAAAGCCCTCGTGATTCTATAGAGCTCCGGTAAAAGCCCTGCAGTCAGCCAAAGCATTTCAAATATAGAGATCAATTAACATCACTCATGAGAACCTTCATCCTTCCGGTCATCAGAGCCTGGTCTCAAATTTCCAGCCCCCAGGGATGAGACAACTACGGTTCTACCGACCTTGGAAGAGGTAGTCCTCGGTGTTCTGGTCGGGCGACTCGGAGCAGACGCCGATGTCGAACGGACTCCTTCCGGCCAGCATCTCATACATGAGCACTCCGAGCGCCCACCAGTCGACACTGCCGACACACAGCGACATCTATAGAGTACAAACGCAACGAGAGCTGCCACAGCCAGACGCCGGGCGCCGCCACTGGAGCAGCCACTGCGAGCGAGTCGCCATGAAGAACGACTGGGGCGGGCGGGTATGATCGATCTAAGAGGGTTCGGGAGTGACCCCATATATCAACGATCTGCATAGTCAGACACACAGAATAGGATCAACGACATGTGATGAAAATCACTTATGACATTAATTGCATCCGGAAAATTACGACGCAAACGTTAACACCCAGTGACGCGTGTAGGCATTTCTACGGATACAACAATGCCACCTCAACAGTCATCACACATTCCATTGCTCGCCTACAACAATCACAGGACCAATAATACAGGACAGTGCACTTCAAACCGTGGTCACTCGACGATAACAACAGAAACCCAGAGTCGATGTATGCGGTGACTTGGCAACTCAACCATGTCAAAATCCCTCTAGCTTTGAAGCCATCGTACACAAGGCATGTAAAACAGGATTGCATTTAATATTATCCGACCCTGCATGATTGACTAATAACCAGCGTCTACCCTCTCCAGCAGCCGCTCACCTGAACCCGTAGTCCTCTCCGCGCAGGATCTCTGGGGCAATGTAGTTGGGCGTGCCGCAGAAGGTGGATGTCGAGTCGCCCTGGCGGATGCCCTCCTTGCACATGCCGTAGTCGGTCAGCTTGATGTGGCCCTCGTGGTCGATCAGCACGTTGTCCAACTTCAGGTCGCGGTATATTATGCCTGGAGGTCGGGAAGAGGGAACGGGCGGATGACGACGGTGGCGATGATAGAGATGATGCTTGAATTTCGGGCATTCGAAATGATTTATTGGTTATTTCTGTAACTTTCATGACACATATTCAATTTTCAGCGTGAATTTGTGCGTGAGAACATGTTGAAAACTGAAGATCGTTGAAAGTTGCAAGAATTCGTACGATGTTGGCCTGAAATGAATTATTCCGCCCATTCCCATTCACTCTATAACCTTTCGCAATGTCTCATAACAGACGATCTAACACTACACAATATCTACGGAACATACGTTGGTGGACGAAGGAGACGTTAAAAAACAAACTCGTCTGCGTGCCCCACCTCTCTCGTGCAGGAAGTTGAGCGCCAGGCAGATCTCGGCCGTGTAGAACTTGGCGTGCTCCTCGGGCAGCTTCCTCTGCCGCTGCATGTGGAACATCAGGTCGCCGCCGCGAACAAACTCTGAAAACAAAACAGCCATGAAATGTCGATTCGCCACTGCGTAAAAACACTCAAAAACGGGTGTGGACGAGGTCGGCACCGCGCACAAACCCTGAAAATGGCCGTGGACAGTGAGGTAACTATCGAACACAAGCTCTAAGAACACACCCAACATTAGGTAGGTGCTGGTGACACGGACCACCCACCACTATCCATCACAAGGCAGGTGTTGGTCCACATCTCAAACCTCTACCCTGCCTCCCCGGTCTATGAAGTGGCACCGAGTGCAAACCACGCGCGGTATAAATCCGGCTGATGAATCCTCCCCAGAACTGTGGGGAGGTGTCCGGAACTCCAACGTCCCCCGCGTCCACCGGCTTTGTGGAAACGACAGTGGTAGGAGAGAGGCGCCAGCCCCGGGGCCACATACATATTTCATGCGATATTTTATGCCCATAATTCGGCCGTTCTGCCGGCGGCCGGGACGATTCGACGACTTTAGTTCGGAGTATGGCTGGGTGACGACTCTTGGGACGCACTGTGGCGGCCGGAGAAAGGCCGATATGGCGGCCTTTCAAGGCAGCGCTTCAGAACAGCACTTGAGGGTGCCATTTGAGAACAGCGTCTCCAAACAGCGCTTCGGGCCAACACTTCCGGGGAACACTCTAAGCGAAGACAATTGCAAGGACATTTCAGAGTATCAAAGCAGTTTTTCAGCCCACATTTACTGCTACGCATTGATGCAGCATTCGCCGATTACACACAAAAGAAAATATTCGTAACGTAACCTCCTATAACGACAGCCCAACCAACCATGACAAACCGGAAAACCACCTCTGACACGGTCGTCTGGGGAAGACGTTTATGCAGCGCGATTATCTCTTCGGACATGATTGTCGGCAATAGCGACCTAAATCGCGTCCTCGCATGCCGCGCCGCCGTGATGCAAACACAGCGGACGGCGATGACAATGCCGGGCTAATTGGATCGTTCCATGTGATTGTCGGCACGCGAAAGTAGCCCCTATTGACGGCGACTGCTGCTGTGTGCGCTGTGTGCTTGACGTATAAAGCGTAATGACCGCAGTCGTGTCTATGTCCTATACCAATAGACAACAGCGTATGCATGCATGACGTACGTTTTTAGTGGTCATTTAATGCTATTATACAGTTATACACACAATGCCCGCGAGCAGCTGATAAGAAATGATAAAGCCTTGATAGCCCAATACAATATACATAATGCAGTCGCATGTTACTATATACGTAACGATTCGAGTTGCAGGAATGCAATCACAGTCCTTATGGAATCAATAAAGATGCCGAAATGCAGAATAAAGGCAGCACTGGGCGATACGTTACCAAACCACCGAGTCTACGTCTTCCCGAATCACTCAGGACACGTTACTACATTCCTGAGTTCAAGGCATGTCGCATTTGGACCACTGCAACGAGGTTTTTCAACGAAGTTATCAGCGACATGAGCACATTTAAGAAAATCAGGGAAAACAAAACAACTGACATGTCAGTACGAATACGGCAGTTTATCAGGAATTCGATGTTATGGTAGGGGTGGTTATGGCTAGGGATGTTATGGTAGGTAGGGTTTGAAAATAACATTATTTTCCCATTCAAATTGAAACTAATTTTCATTCTTTCAACAACAAGCATAACACAATCCTCGGAGGCAAAATCGAACATCACGATGCGGCACGACGGCGGAGGCTGGCTGCGACGAGGAAGGCGTCGGTGTGCCTGCGGCATTGACGGGCGGTGGCGATGGCGGGCGATGGGCGGCGGTGTCCTCTGCCATGTCGGACGCAGCCGGGCGGCCCGTTAGGACGTCTCACCACTAATGGGGCCTGCCGGTGCGGCGCCACGTCCGCCACTCTGCCGGCGGACTACCGAGAAACACGAGACGCCGCCGCCTCCCCGCCGACGCCAGACAGACAGACAGGCAGGCAGAGAGATGGACAGACAGCCAGACAGACAGGCACACAGCCAGACAGCCAGACAGGCAGATGGACGGTGCCGGTCGCCGCAGCCTCGCTGCCAGGAACAGCCGCCGCTGCCGCCGCCGCCGTCGCCGTCGCTTCGCAACAGCCCCTGGCTTCCGCTTACACCAGCCTTACGCCGAACAGCGGCCGTCGCTGCAGCCGCCGGTTTCAGCGTGAATACCAGCCGGCCGTCCTAACTGGTTAAATATAGCTCTGCTGTACCCGCTAATTAGTTCTGCTGCTACCGAGAAGATTTGTTAAGCTTAAAGTGTGCTCTTGCATCGGCTCATGGCTTGAGTTAACCACTTTTGTCTCAAACTGTTCAGTATTAGGCGAATAGTTACAAGTCATGTTCAAGATTCATCAGAATGCAGGTCTCGCAACAGATGAAAAGTGTCCGAACAAGTTCGATATCCGGCTCCAGTTAATCAACAGTACGTAGTGTTTCATTCACTCGGCGGCATCTTCACAAAGTCATCTCTCACGTCTAAAACTCGCCGACACCGGGCCACAACGTACGGCCGTGTCAAATCGCCGACAGCTCGGCGGCGCTGCGCGGTACGGTAATTGATCCGGCCGCAGGAGGTGATCCATGTAGAGTGTCACGTGGGCTGACACGATGGGATGTTACAGGATGGAGACCGCCGGCGGGCCGGTGATAGCGGCGCCGCTGCCTCAGACAGACACACAGACGCCACAGGTGGCTGAGGGGGCGTCGAACGCAGGCAGCGCGCGCGCCGCGTGGAACGGACTCAGTCTGGACTGCAGGAACAGTGGTGGACTGGTGGAATGTCCGGTGGGGCTAGGTTCAGGATGACAGGAGAATGCGCTATCATGTGTTTCATGAATGAAAAATAGCAAATCGAGGCTCTTCATTACCTTACCATATGGATATCGGTATCAATAGTACTGTGCCCGGCACGGAAAATATCTTTTCAGCTCAGTGTAGACTACAAGATGACATCTCTTCATACAAAATGGCTCTTGCCAAGTCTGAGCTATCAGAGTAAGACGTACTCTAGACCTTGAAGGGAGTAGCCTCTTAGTGGCAAGAGGCACAAAATCAAACAAAACCGCGCCAATCAGTGTCACGTGGGCACAAAATCTGCACCACTTACGATAACCCATTAATCGGTCTTATGGTGATACGGGAAACTGTTCGACTAACGATTCTAAGAATGATCCTGCCAATCAACCAAGTCATGAAACAGAGCTTCAACTTTTCTGCCCATAAATCTGTCGTAAAACGAACAGAGCGCTGATTGGTTGATGGTTCTCAGAACAGCCTTGCACCGGTCGTAGTCACGAAACTGTCCTCTTATCTTTTCCTGTAGGTCACGTCGTAAATATTTCCACCTTTTCCTGTCAACAACACAGTAAATAACTCCGTTTCGAGCCGACAGCACAGTTGTTCGACTGAGTTGCAAGAAGGTCACCAAATGTTTGTCAAACAGGTAGACGGACACATCAATGTAGCCTCCTCCCCCAGGAAGTCTTTATAAAGCACCATCTCGCCTATCCCTTATCACCACTTCGCATCTACCAGATCCGTTTAAACATCCACAAGACAACACATATTTGAAAACACTCAGTCACTAGTCAGACCATTGCTAGGCACCCTCGTTAGCTCACCGATAACAAAGAAGAGCCGGCTGGGACTCTGGAAGCACGAGTGCAGTCCGACCAGGAACGGGTGGTTGGAGGCCGTCTCGAACACGTGCTTCTCGGTCTGTACCCAATCAATGTCCTCGTCGTCCGTCACCAGCTCCTTCTTGATGACCTACCACACGCCACGCGGCAGTCAGCACCAGCTTTGAACCCCTGTATGTACAGATGGCTATCACAGGAGGGGTGGAACTCCAGGAACTCCGATGTTATAACACAGAGAACAAACCGCAGGCATACATCACAAAGGGACACCGCAACAGCCGGCATCCGCACATTGAGAGCGGGTGAACAGAATATCCCAAGTGCTCTAATGTACAGGAAACGACCAGGCATTTCGCACCTTGAAACACAATATTACCTAGCGTCGCGCACGTTTAAACAGACGTTAAAAGATCACTGCGTGGCCATCGCGTTCGTCCCACAACACAACCTAACGCAGCGAACACGCCAAACGTCTACCGTTATGGCTCTTAATCACCGCCGCTGCGTCACGGAACACACAGGAACGTTTCGTGAATGCCGTCGTTAACTGGCATGGACAGGTGTTGTTGCGTGACTTGCTGACAAGCAGCTAACATAATGATGTAGTTAGGGTGAGGGAATTCGACAGGTAGAAGTTCAGACGCGTGTTACGTAGAAATTTATTGCTGAAGAATCACCAAATTATCTAAATGATGGATTGGTAACAGGAAGCCAATGGCAATAAGGAACCAAAGTTAAGTGCATTTCTTGGAAGACATTGCTAATTTAATAACCATCCACAGCTAAACCACACACACACAGCGCTGTTCAGTAGTGCATAAACACTAGGTGACTTGTGGGATTTGAACCACTGACCTTCATGGCGTAGACGCGCTTGGTGCGCTTCAGCTCGACCATCAGCACCTTGGCGTAGCTGCCGCGGCCGATGACGCGGATCAGCTCGAAGTCTGCCAGCGAGTACTGCCGCTGACCTCCCGGCTCCAGATCTGACGGGCAAATGGACATGGGGCGGCGGTGAGACGGACGTACTGATAGAATTACAGTGGGTCTTGTGATGTTACACAGTGGGTTGCACTGGGTTACAGGTTCTTGTTACAGTGGGTCATGATCAGACTCCGGACGGCACATCGCTGCTGTATTACTGCCATGGCACTGACTGTGATCACAGACCCGCCCGCTCCAAGGCGCTGCACCTGAAATTTGTGAAGACTTTTCGACTTTGCGATGGCGGCAGCTGTCATCAGCAACCAAATTACACTACACCTACGACCTTGAAGCTACGATCAGGATTCTAGCACACATTTTTCTGCCTTTGCTCTGCACTCCTCTCCTCTCTGTGCCTTGTTCTCCTCTACCCTGCTCACTGCCACGGGTCGCCAGGCGGCGGCTAAGACGCGCAGTGTCACCGCCCTCCGCCGAGGTACAGGTGGCGGCGCCGGCCGGGTCGCTCCCGGGGGACCGTTTGAGCGGCCCGGGTCGTCGCCTCCGCCCGTCACCTCACCTGGGCTCTGATCCATACGGGCGGCGCGGCCGTCGCTCGTCGCCGCCGGCGCCAATACCGACCGGGCGGCAGCGCGGCCCGAGACAGAGTCTCCACCGGCCTCGGTCCCGCTCACACGAGGAATATTAACGGGCACACGCCTACCTGCGCTGAGTCGGGAGGAGACGACAGCTTCGAAAACACCTCGAGCATCGAGAGGAGCCCGTCGAACGGATGTTGGTCCGAGCGTAGAGGCACAGATAAAGTGACCTTCCGCGAATGTGCGGGCCGAGGGACCGTGCCGGAATGATGGGTCATGAGCCCGGCGGGCCGCGGCCGATGGCCCCCGGGGTGGCGATGGATCAGAGGCCATTCGTTATCCCATTCACCGACCGTGAATGGAGCGCCACCAGTACCCTCAGACAGGGTGGCCACCCGGTATCGGCCCGGGAGGGAGGGTCGAGACAGACAACCCGGAGAGACGGACGAACCGACACCGAGAGACGGACGGCAGACAAATAAAGATGGGCATCAGCCGAAAAAAAAGTAGCGTCAATTCAGCAAAAGGAGTGAAGGCTTCAGAAACTTTGATGGCTTCAAGCATCATTTTTTAATGATTCGAACAACAAGTTTTCGGCCCGATCGATTGCGCAACGCAGTCGATCTGTTACACGAATATCTGCTGTTCGTGAAGAGTCTAGAGTCGTTCTGCAGAGGCGCAAGAGGCGCGGTCTCAACTGCCTGGGATCACGGTCGGTAAGTTCATGATTCGGCCACCTGTCACGTAAGCAACACCTCTCCTGTCAGCTGGAGCAGGCAGCGTGTAAATTGCATGACTCAATCGTCATCAGGTTGATAGCTCGCTATATAAACGGTGCTACAAAACGCACGTCTTAAAACTAAATTTTAAGCTTACAGGCATCATATAGCTAGTTCTAGACAAACGAGCATTAGAAGCCTGCGGCAAAAGGCACCAGTGCTGGTGTACTAGTCTCACTTTCCACTTTCTTTGCTAGCCCTAGTTACTAGCCCTTTCTTTGCAAGACAAACTTCTGTTGCGGCCGAGGAGAAACACCGCACGCGTGTTTATGACTTCAAACGCGGACCGTGCGCCGATGAAGACGGTAGGTGGTGAGATTTCCAGGAAACACTCCCCTGCGCCGGCGTCTAGCGAGGTGAATTTCCACCGGGTGCCCGCGGGCTATTGTTTGCAGAAGCCGCGCCAGTGAGGCGCTTTTCCCGTATAGCACTGTGGACTTAACAAGAGGCCGAGCGGAGCGCGTATCAGCTTCCAACGCTCAGGATTATGCTGTTTGGCTAGAGTCATCTGTTTGCTGACAGAACGATCCGAACGTATATTGCTAGGAAATCAAACAGTGTGTAGGAATGTGCGCCGCATGTGTCAATTCATCACAGAGCTTTATTTAGTATTTAAGGTTCCGTCAGCCCCTATGGGCATCGATATGAATTTTTAGCGATTAAGACAAAATTAGTGCTCACAACATTTTAATACCTTTTTGGAAGCATTCAATATCGGAAAATTCATTGAAGGCGGACGCTCGAGTGCTCCCAAAGAAGTCCGAACAAACAATTTAATTGCAATCCAAACGTCCATTAATATTGCCTATTGCATCTGGTCGGTGCAGATAATAAAACGATACGAAAAAAAACAAGCACATAGGAACAGCACTTGAAATAACAGCGATCGTTGCATCGAAGGACACAAGATACTGTACTCTCAGTTCGAGCGAGAGCCTCGGTCGGGCTACCAGAAGCCGTGTCGGTAGCGGGCGCATGACCGCTCCAATATAGCCCGGTGCAGCCGATGTGTCTCCGCTACCGTCCCCGCCCTGAGCGATGGCCGCCGTCGGGTCTGACCCCTGTACCGACGGTACCTGCCCTGCCTGCCACGCGCGCCGGCTGCTGAGGGCATGGTCATGAGCGTGTATTTTGTGTTGATGAACCGGGCGACCTGACATTAAAGAAAATGGACGTAAATACCTTCTAACCCAAAATTCAATTTGGGTTCAACCCCCTTCTCAATTACCGGTACAGAAGCGCAAACCCTTACTCGATCTACGTTTTTAGGAGGCGTGACATCAGACAACAGCCTAGATGAAACGTTTCGCACATTCCCGAAACAGTGCCGGTCGCACATCGAATATGGTCCAGTGCGCACGAGGCTCATTTCAATAAGACCCACTCGGACTTAGGCAGCGTCCGGTAGCTAACGGTAGGTATTTCTTTATCATTACTCCGAGGAAAGCGGCTACTTTTCATACAAATACCGAAAGTGAGTTGCAAGCATTTCCGTTGAGAAGATGCACAAATTCAAAATGTTAGGGACAACATGGACACAAATACATATGTTGTGGACGTCAAGATAACGTAAATCAAACACAGATATGCAACATAAGGTTGGCGTCAAATCGCTTTGATTATCAGCACGAGAGGGACAATTCTGCAGTTCAAGGCTATGTCCTATGTTCTAGTAATCTTTGTTCAAGGCTAACGAATAAAAAAGCAGCGGCCGCTTCATATCTTGATCCAGACGCCAATCAGGAACGACAGAAGACACCGAATACGACGAAGTCTTTTGATTCGTAGCTATCGAAAATGCGTCGACCACGTCCAACTTGACCGAGTTAGGACGGGATCCCACAGGTCACTGACCAGTTAGGGATGTGGTCGAATCACATCGGCAACTGACCCGATCAATGATGAAGGTAGCCAATCACGAAAGGCGCACAAAGTCGCTGTAAGAGTAGCCTCTCATGTTCGGCAGCAGGCACCGTCCATTTCCAACGGTGCCATATTCTGAATCTGACTGAGATGATTCACAAACAACGTTCGCTGCCGAACGCCGACAAAATCGACCGCCAACAGCGCCACAGTTAGCCAATCCTTTTTCACTCAGCTGTCAACAAAAGCTTCTCTATATTCAATATGATCACTTGTATTGCTGTTCGGGCGGATTCGGTTCCAATAAGCTGAAAGCAGTGACGGCGCGGGCTGCCAATGCCGCAACACCAGATACAATCGCCTACAATGTAAATAACTCAGACAGCGCGAACAAAGCGGCTTCCGATACCCGTGTTGACACTTCAGTCAAACTTTAGCGCCGCTGTCGGCGCTCGAATCACCGCCAAATCTAGTCAGGGCTCCGTCCCAACTGGCCGAATCAGCTCACGGGCCGTCCGTCTCACAAGTTGGCCGCGGCTGGCAGGCATCATTGTCGATATATAGGACACCCAGAGGAGCCGGACCGTGTCTCAGGCCATCTGATGACGTCACAACACGACTTCTGACGTCATCACGGCAATCATGGCTTCCAAATTCGGCCCAGCCAAATAGTGAGACGGCATAACGGATTTATGTCGCTACTATCACTCTTCAGAAGACGTCGTCAATGGCTATCGGCGAAGGGCGTCGATACATAGCTGATGCGCATTATTTACAGTCTGACACCGCACCACTCCACAGTGGTATCTAATCAGCGGCACGCAGTGGCACGGAAAGGTGTCGTTACTCACACTTCTACGATTTTAGCTGGGTGAAGTAAAGCCTTTGGATAATTTACGAGTTTACCCAAGGAAAAATACCTCAGCGAATTAGCTGATGCAGTGTTTAGTTAAGGCATCTTTGCACGAAAAGGCGAGCCTATCTTTAACTAGCTAGTCTGCAGCAAAACCTTCCAAATATTTCAAACGCGCCACCTCACGTGCACCACCAAACGATTTTCCATCAACCAAATGTGTACCGACATTTGAAGTGAAATTCAATTCCAGAACAAAAAGCACCGCCGCAAAATGTAGCCGCAAAGGTGAAATCAAATAACAACAATAAGATCAAAGCTTTGAACTGTTATCAAACGAAAAAAATATCCACTCCACCGCAAGAATCGAACCCACGACTACCGCTCCGACTTTCACTGACCTGCCGACGGCGCGTCGACGCTGACCACTTCTGTGGCGGCGGACGGGGGTGGCAGCGTGTCCTCGATCGGCACAGGAATGTGCGCGCTGGTGGGCGGCACCACACTGTCCGCCTCTGAAACAGTGCACCGACAATCAGAACGGGACAGCAGAGTCTCTAAAATAGCACACAGACAGTCAGAACGAGGGCAGTGAGAGATGGGTTAACGACGGGGAAACGACGGAGACGGGACAAAAAACAATTACGGAACGGTTTGCGATGAAGCATAGCACAGGTACAGAAAAAAGACGGAAGGAGGGTTTATATGAAAAAATGACGGGCCGCTACCACGCGCCGCGTTATGCTTTAGATGACGGCCGTTAGACGAGACGATTGTAGCGTAACATTTGCAAACACGGCTTTAGGACAGCATTTCAGAGATAGAGCAGACGTGTTAGGGGTCCCACTGCCCGGTTTAGCACACATAAAACGACGGACAAAGAGAGGCACGGCACGTAAAAACCAGTGGAACGACGCTTCGGGCGCCAGGTAAACTGGGAGAGAGCGGCAGGTAAACGGGGAGAGAGCGGCGCTGAAATCCGTGCGAAAGGGCGCGGGACACTGTCTGCTCAGGAGACAGGCAAAGAGAAACGAGCCAGAGAAGTCGGTCAAAACGACCGGCCGGCAGTCAGCGACAGTCCGACCGTACAACTGCGGGACTGGTACGAAGATGGGTCGCAGCACTTTGACAATGGCCGAGACAACTTCTTTCGGAAAAGGCGGACTGTTAACATTTCCACATCGTGGCGTGTCCATCCGGACAGGTTTAGAGGGACAACTTTTCTCTCAAGTCTCCCGCGACAGTGACGGACATAGGACAAAACAGTCACAATGCTACTACCGAAAACACATCAGTTTGTTAGCTCTACATACTAGCTAAATGTACATTCTATAATCAAGCATCCTCTAGTTGAATTCACACCGCTCGGTAGCTCACGCACTCCCAGTCTGTCACCATCGCGTTGCCACACCCAGCAGGACGCGTTCGGCGGCGAGGAAACACACGCCAGCGCGACCAGAAAAACGCACTCAGAGCGCCAACGAGCCAACGAGACAAACCCTGTTACGGTCCAGCCGCCAGCTCGTTACCACATACTGAGGACGACGACAAACACGCCGGCGCCTCCGACCGGCCACGCCATTTCTCGACCTTCCAGCGTGCCTGTACCCCTCGCAAAGCTGTCGTTTTCAGTCCACTAACGCAGCGCCTGCGGCCCCCTACCCCTGCAGGGTAGGTCCCACCCTCCCCGCATCCCTGCACGTCGCGCGCGGGCCGCCCGCGCCGCCGACTCCAATTTACGATCGGATGGCGTTTTATTCATCGACGGCGCCAGCATATTCGGCGTCGCCGGTCCGAAAGGTCAGGCCGGCCGCGCCGCGTGCCAGCCCCGATAAGCGCCGCCGGTCGCGGCGCCGCCGCTGGGGAGCTGGCCGGTGATGTGATGCATAGGATTGACTGACGGATGACGGTTCAAGTCGCCCGAAGATACGAGCTTTCCGGCCGCGGGGTGACTGCGTTCGGTCGCTCGCTGCAGCGCAGAGGTCAAAGGTAGCACGGGTAATGATTTTGGAGAGTCTCGGTTCGTGTTCGGACAAAGTTCGTCACAGGTCACAATCGGTAAACATGAGTTACAATCGCAGACCTTTTGAACGGTAATTATTTCTGCACTAAATGCATGCAATCAGAAGTCAGAAGCCACTTCACGTCTTGAGCACAATCCAGAATCAATGCACAGTTTTCAACGGTCGTGGCAGTGCATCAACGTCAGTAGAAAGCGTTTCATAATGGACAGGGTGCGCGACCCAACACAACACTATCTTTAACGCCACACTTAATCCTCTCAAACACTTAAAACTGCAGCGGCGATAACACGGCAAATAAATCCCCTTATCGGGATCTGGTGCCGCACGAGTTTCGCGCTGGCTACAGCGCTGGCAGCGCTCTGTTTTCGCCCCTCCCCCTCTCCCTCCACTCGGAGAGAGAGGACGGGGGAAAGAGCCGTGAGGCGGACAGAGCGGCGCTCGCTTGCGTGAAAGCTGCTACCGTTAGCCATCATTACCATTGACGCTGGCACGCGAGACAGCCGACCGCCGCGCCGGCCTGCGACTCTCTCCCCACTGGCGTCAATGGGCGCATCGGTAGCGCGCCCGGCAGACTCGCAGATTAATTGGTCCGCCACAACGGCAGCGGATTGTCCGCGGCACAAAAAGGCACGCCGGGCCCAGTTCGGAATAGCGTTTGTACAGCAAACGCGATAGGCGTTTGCACAGGAAACGTTATATCTTTACATATCAGCTTTGTATAGAAAATAAACCAGACTTGCCGCCACTAGCACCGCAAAAGATCACGCGACAAAATAGAGCGAACACAACATCCTGAGCGGACATAGCGCGACCTCATTCTCCACCACTCTAATCACACTGAGATACAACGGTGCTGGCGGCAACGCTAGCACAAACACCAGGAGCGCATCGGAGGCCACACGGCCGGCCAGAAGTCTGTCCTTTTTTGGGGCGCGATGTCGCGCCGGACGATGACTGTTTTTGCTGCCGAGAATGACACATTTGTCTCAGTTGTCTCGCCGGACACAGAGATCTGGCGCGGCGCGTGATGGGCCACACAAAGACGGGAAAACGAGGCAGAGCCCGACCTGCACACGCCGGGTGGTCACAGGAACAGATGGTTGGCTATAAGGCTTGAGGTGACAGGCGGCATAGGTTGCATCCTTCCCCGTACCAGTATCTTGCTTTTAGAGCCTCTGCGTGTAACTGCCGTCACTAATTGTGAGGAAATAAGCATTACCCGCCTACGTCTTGAAGTTTTACCGAAACACGGAAATTATTGGGATATTGTTAGATCAGCGCAGATCAGATCGACGTGACCCGATGCCTTGACAAATACACCGTTCCATCCACACATGTACCTCAAACAGGTCAAGCAGCACATGGTCTCCCTTCACAGCAAATTTCACAGGTCCCTACCACCTCAACCCTCACTGGCTTCCTCATATCTCATAGCTCCCTACCATTTTTACCGCCGTACCCCTCACTGAGTCCCTCCCTCACCACACATCCCGCCCAGCCCCGTCAGCAGCCCGCCACTCACCGGGTGAAGGCACATCTCGCTCGCCGTTAGCGGAGTCAGTCACCAGGTGTGTCGGCGCCACCGGCTCCCCCGTGCATTTCTTTTTCAGTAGCTTGTGACACTTTTTATGGATGAGCAGCTTACACTGGGTGCACTTGAAGCCCTGCCGTCCCAGGCCCCAAATCCGGTCTTGGCAGTAGGCACAGGCGGCGCTCTGTTAAAAAAGGTGTGTTTCGTAAGGATCACGGAAGAGCAGCGCAACAAGAGGCTTGAGGCATAATAGCAGTTTAGAAAGCAGATAAAATAACTGGAATAAATACAGTCGTACGCCACAGTCATAACGAGACGCCTCGAAGGTTCAGCCAATGCAGATCAGGACCGTCGCCACACTACGCTTCAGCGTGGCGGGCGCGGCGGCTGGTGGTAGACTGTCCCGCCTTACATGCCGGTACTGCGGCACAGTCTACCAGTCCAGTCACCGCCTTCGCCGCACCGCGTGCGCTGTGCTTCAGTGCACCGAACACAACGACAAGACAGGCACGGAGACATCAACGCATGAGTGCCGCGTGTTTCTGTCTCTGTGTCTGTGGCCTGTGCAGTGTGGACTGGTATAAAGTAAGCAGCAGTAGTTATCACCCCTCTCCCGCCCAATTTAAAATCAACATACCACCCTGTAGTCTCAGTTTACTCACACATGCAGAGTGAGCATCGAGTAGTATCTTCGTTATTTCATTTCATTTCATTTCATTTTGTTCAAATGATAGTGCATTTATCCTTTACTCTATGTACGGTGTAAGAGCATAAGGTTATTTCCAACACGGCTTATCTCCATAGCAATTTTTCATTTAATCCCTACAAATGCGGGCACCATTTTTGTCGCGCGATATCCAACCACCTTCGTTCACGCCCACCCCTTCATCCCAAATTCCTGCGGCGTGGGCTCGGTCGTCTGGTCGCCCACCACATCGTCTCAGCACGAGCTGGTTACCAGGGGAGCGGCGCCTGCCAGCGCCGACCTCCCACGACCGGTCGGCTAATTGGTGAATGGTTCCGCACCGCCCGCCGGTGAGCGCCGCCACGCCCCAGCACCGCCGGCGCGGCGTCTGCCCGCCGCGGCGACACATCAGCCGCAGTGACTCGGAATGGCACCTCTCCAGACCTCCGCCAGTTGGCCCACCAGACTCTCGGACGCATGGCCCCGCGGGAAAAAAAGATAAAAGCCAGACGAGAGGGGATGGGAGAGCCTGCCGTTTGGATTTTCTTCATATCAATCCCAATATGAAAATTTAGATAACATCGCAAAACCATTCTAGCGAAATTCAGCACCACTTAATTTCCTCGTGCATGATCGGCTCATAAGCTATGGACACACCAGCACCGCAGACCATGCGATTTTCATGAGCCCCTCTGGCAGTTTGTGTCGATTTTTCCGCCGCCGTCGACGGCGGCGGTGCCGGGATGCGGAGCTGGCGCCGACTCGGCACCGGCCGTCTCCATTATTCATTGGCCGGCGGTGAGCGGACCGGTCGGACGGTCGGCCGCCGACACTGAATGGAATCTATAATGTAATATGTGGCGCTGGCCGGCGCCGCTGGTGACCGGTGACCGGTGACCGCGGTGATTGTCACCACCGGCCAGATGACCCGGTGATGACCGCCGGCCGGCAGGGGGTAGGTGCCGGCGATATTGTCCGTGCCGCGCCAGACGGCCGGATGGACGGACAGACGCCCCGGACAGGCGGTAGGGTGCCGGTGATAGGGCCCGTGGGTCGCGACGGGCAGACAGTAATAATGGAGCAGCCGCCACCGCCGATCGCTTCCATCCTTCAGGTGACGATAGATACTAAATAGACGATTTGATTAGATGGACTCCAGAATGAATAGATAGATAGGGGTTCCGGGGCGAGACAGCGCCGCTCCAAAACGCCTCTGTGCCCTCATAAATCGCAAAGAAACGCTATCCACTAGAGTGGAAGATAGGTCGCTTCACATTATGCAGTAACTATATCGCAGGTCTAATATATCCCAGCAAATCGGAAGTGTAGCTATCGATCGCTGTGCACCCTGTACCCCGGCCAGTACGCTGTGTTCTCCAGTACCCGTCCAATGCGCCGTGCACCCCGGTCAGTACGCCGTGTACCCCGGCCAGTACGCTGTGTACCCCAGCACCCGGCCAATGCGCCGTGTACCCCGGCCAGTACGCTGTGTTCCCCGGTACTCAGCCAGTACGATGTGTACCCAGTACCAGTACGCTGTGTGTACCCCGGTTTACCCCGCCCGGTACGTAGCGCTGTGTACCCCGGTTTACCCCGCCGCCAGCACGGCACCATCGATCGTCGGAGCAGCGGAGAGCTCAGCTGACGGCCCGCCGTCGGCCGCTCAGCCGCCGCGCCGCCCGCGGGGACACACCGGGTCAGAGGTCATCTGTCGCGGTCAGAGGTCACCTGAACCCGTCAGAGGTCACCTGTCGCAGTCAGAGGTCACCTGAACCGGATAGGGTCACCTGCCCTGTGTCATAGGTTAGGTGTCTACCTTCTACTAGTCTCAGTAGAAGCAGAATGATGTGTTTCTTGCGTCGTGATGAGTGACTCCGTAGACCGATGTGGACTGGTGATGTGTGATGTGGGGTGATTGTTGTCAGTTATCATGGACCAGTGTGAATAATGTACCTCGACTTAAGCACGTAAGTGCTTTTGTACTAATTCATACATGCGTCTGGATGTTCAAATATATGTGATGATGATGATGATGATAGGTCACCCCTCTCCGTCAAAGGTCATCTCTCCCGGTCAAAGGTCATCTTTTCCGGATAGGGGTCACAAGTATCGGTCAGAGGCCATCTGCTTTGGTCAGAGGTCATCTTTACAGCCAGAGGTCACCTGTCTCGGTTACAGGTCACCGCAAGCCTCGGCAGGTGCCTGGGCGAGAGCGTAAGCAGGTGCGACATTTCAGTGATTAGTTTTTGAAGCTAACAGCACTACCACTCATTATTGCCTTCTTTACCCCTTTCATCACTTTCACCGATTCTCTTCTGTCCTCTTCGTCTGCTTTAACCCCTCCCTGGGCCGCAGTTCGGTCACTTCCTCGTGCCAGGGTCTCCCCCAACCGTGGCGGATCGAGCGGGGACGGGCGGAGGGGAGGGAGGGCCCCGGGTACCTACATCATCACTCGCCGGCCGGCACGCGCTAACAAGGGGGGCGGGACGCCGGCCAATCGGCCCGGATAATGGTCGCCAATGGCGGAAAATTAGCCGAAATCACCGCCAAACGTGCCCGGCGCGTCGCCGAGGAGCCAAAAATGCGCGCGACATGGCTGCCAGCAGACCTTTATAGTTCGCACCCGATCATCAGCAGCGATTCCAAGGGCGATTCGCGCGGCGCAGTAATGGCCTGCATGGGGTAAAATCAAACAAATTTCGACACGGAATGATACCCAAACAATGAAGTCACGAATATCCTCAAGGAAGGAAGCGAAATAAATTGCCTAATTCACGCTAAGAAAAGAATGACTCATAAAGCATGCTATGCTTACCAAGCATATCATGCAACGACATAAAATAATGACGGGATAAATCAGACCATAATCGAAAGCAAAAAAGGTTCGATGAAGCAGCCAATATAACCAAGTGATTTCAAATGCCTTAAACGATTATTTTGGTGGCAATGATGGAGCGTTCTTCGAATGTCTGCAATAGAGCGAAGGTCACGTTACTTCCATAAATTTAAATGATGAAAGTATCATACAAAATGCATGGCTTTTCGTTTGCTTCCGAAGATTGATGAGAAGTTTCCAGACGCCTAAATATACTGCCCTTGACTGCCAGTTATTTATGCGGAAACTTTTGATGAATTTAACGGCACCGCTTAGTGTATATCATGGTCCACTCTATGCATCCAATGCAGTCAGAAGCCTCGCATATCGGCCGACTCACTCTCGATCACTGCGTCTGTCCATGCGGTGACCTGACTGCGCCTGCCGCCGAGCGGTTCACATGGTCCACGCCAAAACAGTGGCCTAGGCGGCATGTCGCGGCAATGTCTCGCCAATCAATAATTGGCCCGGAGGCACGCCGCCACCTGGACCGGCCACTTTGAGTCGGTGCGGCCCCCGGCAAGTATGATGGATTGACGGGTATCGTGAGAATGGCACATCACTCGCACCCCCCCCCCCCTTCACGCAGCTCAACTGTGACGTCATCAGTACCGGGGGGGGGACAGCTGAGTGCAAAGTCCGCACAGCAGCAAGCAGGAACTGGAGCGCAGTAACCTCAAAATAAAAGATTCCGGAGCAACTTCATCAAACATTATTGTCCTGCATCTCAGCGGGAACGATTACCGAACTTTTTGAGTCTTCATTTCGAGATGCCGCTGTTTTTACTTGGAGTCGCTGTTCCGACATTTCAATCTTCAGTTCAGTGACACTCACCCGGTTGAAGCGTTTCGCCTGGAAGATATGGCCATTGACCTTGTACAGTTTCCTCCATCGCCGGGCGCCGCGCCGATATATGCTTCCTGAGGGACAGAGCGAGGGCAGCGTCACCATTGGGAAACCGGAGTGGGCTGGAGGGGGCGGGGCACACGGGACAGACGCACACTCGGGGACGCAGGTACAGGGAGTGCGGAGAGACTGCAGACTGCGCAGAGATCCTGGGAGATAAAGATGACATAACGAGACAGCGGTGAGCCGCCTCGGCTGAACCCTACACAGCACCACACCCTCCCGATGCCGGCGGCAGTGAGTGTTGCAGCTCAAAAACCCTCCGATCCGCCCAGGGCCATCCATTTCACTGCCGCTGGTCGGACGAGCCCCGCGGCCGCGGCTGGTTCGTATGCGACGCCGATGAGCGCCGCATATGCCGCCGGCGCGGCGGCGACAAACAAGACGCACTCGAATACCGATCAGAGGCCATCAGTAATATGGAGGGAGGATGGCGGCTGCTTGGGGTGAGCGGGGTTCCTGATCGGGTCTGGTACACGGGTCACGGTCAAAGGGTCACACAGGGTCAGAGGAACGGGTAGCTGAGCCGGACACTTTATTTTACTTTCATTTTGGGGAATACTGTATCCAGTTCCAAACTTCTATTTTTATATCAATGTCCATTTTCAAAGATGCATAATTAATAGCATAATTAATCCGTAAATGAAATTACAGCAAAACGATAACAGTGGCAAGTCGTCCACTCAAAATACCAACTTGATATCCGCCGCATCCCGAACATCTTGTGAACATTTTCGCTGTCCCTGTTTTGCAGCCGGAATAAGTTATTGTTCGGTGGCAGATATGAGGGGGGCCAAGCTCATAAAGGCTCGATGTCATCCCCAACTAGGCGAGCTCTATGCATAAATAGACGCCATTTTCTGTAGCGGAAGAGGCCAATTCGCCTGCCAACAGCAGCCCAGAGACCCCGTTTAGTCGCCGTTAGTTGCTAAATCAGCGGGAGGGACACATGAAAACAAAGTTATTCTTAAGTGAATGAAGGTATAATGCATTTATGCGGCGACAGCGTTACTGAGGTACATGCACTGTAAAAAGCTCAAACTCAGAAAAAGTATATATTGAGCTAAACCGATCATCGCTATGGAACAGCTCACTTTCTATTAATCCCTGCACAAACTGTCACCAATTGACGCATATTTTCTGTCACAAAATATCTTCCAAGTTAATGCGCTTCTTGCACGCAACAGCACGGACGTCAAGAACTGCCTAACGACCAGCCCCAACTTGGACGACATAAAAGCATTCCTGACCTGAATGGTGAAAACGCCATTAACAGCAAAGAAACACCACAAACACGAGCTCGCGTGGACGCTCGTTTTCCACACGATATCGTCATTATTGAAAGCAGCTTTTTGGGCGGCAAGGCGGCATTCGCGCACTCCTCGTGGAAATGTTCTCCCCTATGTTGATTGAGTTTCATGACAGCCCCCGCTGACGGCCGGACTATACCATTTTTAGTGCACTCGGCCGAACCAGGGCTGACCTTTCCAGTGAACGCCAGCTGCCGTTATCCTACCACCTGCTCGACGTGCACAGCACAAATACGGCCATGTGTGACGCACATTCAAGCGGCGAAAATCAATCACACAATCAATCAGCAAAGTTCGAGCAGTTCACCAAACAGCTAATCGTTGAACCCATAGCAGAATTAGGTATAGCAAGCCTTTAGTTTTTATAGCAAGCCTTCTGATGGCGTTCGCCTGTCGGTTCGTGAGATTAAGAAAAAAGTCGTCATTTCAAGTATTTCCCTCGCAAAAGCTTACTAGTCATTCCAAGCAACTTCAAAAGTCAGTTTTATCCGGAAGCCGGCATCGATGACCTATGGGCCATGAGAGCATCAGGAACTTCTCATGCGACCCGCAGAACAGGCGAACGTACGCAGCACACTCAGAGAATCGTCACGAAGCGCGGTCCCACTTATCTATAAAAAACTTCAACCAGCAAGCCCTTCCTTCTCAGCCCAAGCCCTACCTTCTTATTCTATTTCTTTGGATCTATTCGTGCGCGAGAGCTCATTCTCAAAATCCATAAAATTCGTTAAAAAGATGCACAGCCTGAGAACCCAGCCCCCCCCCGTCCGAAGATCCACCAGTGAGACACCTCTGGTCGATCGCCGTGCAGGCCGACCCGGCAGCCGTAGCCGCTCGGTACCGAGACTAGCTGACGGTGCGCCTCTGAGCCTGACACGACGCCAGGCCGGGCCGGGCCGGCCGCCACTGAACTTTGTAAAGGTCACCGTCTGTGGCCGCGACGTGAGAGACCGCGCCGGCTGACCCCCCAGTCGCTCACGGGCCGGGCCCGGATTGCCAGCGCGGTCAGGGAGGAACGGACACCGCCGCACGCGCCCGGACCAGGCAATGTCGATGTAGATGAGAGTGCTGGCGGTCGTCAGGATGAGACGTATGAACGTGAATACAAGAAAGACACGTTATACCGAGACGAGGACAGGGGGAAATGAGCACGGACCGGACAGATAGGAGTGAACTTTTCAGCTGCCAGCTGCATTCTTAGTATGCATTACGGCACACGGAAGTAGTCCAATGTAAACGTCGCGAACTAGACAAAAGGTCGGTGGGGGGTTTACCGGGGGAGTTCAGCGACGTAATCAGATTGCAGTTCAGTGAGCCGTTGCTTCCTCTATTGCAATCATCTGAATATTCACAGAGCGACTTCCGACATTTTCTGAATTCCGTCTTATTTCGCCTTTCTCCGAGTGCGTCGCCAGTTGCAGGCGCGTTTGGAGCATCGAGCAGCAGTTGCAGCAGCTTAACGCCCCAGAGTGGCGAGAGAGAGAGGAAGAGAGGGAGGGAGGGAAAGAGAGAGGGAGAGGGAGAGGGAGAGGAAGAGGAAGAGGGAGAGGGAGAGGGAGAGGGAGAGGGAGAGGGAGAGGTAGAAGGAGAGGGAGATGGAAAGGGAGAGGGATGCAGAGATAAAGAATAACAGGAGGCGCTACAATACGCTTATACATGTCCAGTTTCACCTGATGGTCAAAGCATCCCAATAGGTTTTATAGGATGCTCATTGCCAAGCGATTGCCTTTCGATTGAATATCTCTAAAAAATGTTTACCTTCTTCGAATGATAAGCATTATAAATTATTACTCATCTAAATCACACGCTTGCATTGTAAAAATCATCCGTAACGGCATACCTGCCGTGTCCAAAGTGAATTTCGACTCGACTTGTTTTCCCGCCACAGACACTCAATATTTCCAGCTCGCCTTCGGCGTAGCCCCATAGCGCCTCGGACCAACGCCAAAGTAACTCCCTCCATCAAAGCATCATCTACTCTGATGGCCATTCGGCTTTCAACGTCAAATCTAGAATCATCAACCATAAGCGATGGCCTGGCGCCACTTAAGTACTTCGTCCGCCGCAACTGTCACCTCCATTTTCTGCTACTGGGCGCCCCAGTTCGCCCGACCGCCACCCAATCTCAAACCCATCACAGATTCCCGCGGATTATCGAGTTTCGATTAAATTTTTACAAAAGAGCTTATCTGAAAATACTACAAAAAAAAACTCCGAGCCGAGTGTGAGCTCTCATTTGAAACAGCTTCGGGTCTTACACTAATGGGCGCCATTGTTCTCTCTCGCGCGGGCGGCATTCGCGATAGAAAATCAATCGGCGGCGAAATCTCAGTGAACTCCTGCCGACTGGGAGGCAAACAGAGCCGCTAACAACCCGGAGCTCGCACTCCGGCCGGCCCGCCTCCTCGCCAAACTTCACTAAGCGCATCTCTCGCCTGGCTATCCTTTTCGAGTTGCGGAGCGCCGCGGCGGACGAGTGCCCGGACCGGCCACAGAGGGTGGGAGGGGTTGGAGCGGGGCGGGGAACGGAAGACGGGCGTGAGGAATAGGAGAGGGGGAGGGCAAAGCTCACTCCGCTCAAAAGCAACAGCAGTGTGCCTATCTACTCTTTAACCCGCGCCCGGCTGGGGGTCCTGGATTTCCACGCCCTGCTGGGGGGGGGGAGGTGTTTGAACACCCCCCTTCTAACTCGGCTCCTGAGCCATGTAGCGATACGCGGAAGGCGGCGTTCGAAAGAGCGTCAAAAATAATGACGAAATCACTTCGGTCAATTTTTTGGTCAGGTCAAAGGTCAGGTCACCAGAGGTCATTGAAGGCAAAATTTCGCCGATTTCCAGGTCGAATGTCGACAATTTCCAAGAAGCCAACGCATAACTCGGGAACCAATAGAGCTACAGCGCCGCGGAAAAGCGCATTCGATAGCCCTATTAACGCCCTTTCTGAGTAATTCTCTCAGATTTGACCTAACGTCAACGGTTTTGCCTGCAGGGGGCAAAAACTGCAAAAATAGCCGATTTTTTCGGAAACAGTTTTTCAGCAATAACTTTTGACCCACGCCTTGTACGAGCTTACTTTTACCGGCATCGTGTTCCTCTCGTCAAGACGCATCGAATGAACTATAACTTGACCTTGAAAGGTCAACTTGAAAATTTTACCTCAGGTCAAGGTCATGACCTGACCGGAAATGGTCATGTTGCATATCAGTCGATCCGTATCGTCGAGCTGAACACATCTAAGGCGTTTTCATCGCTCTAGCATGCCTCTGACAAAAGTTATTTGCGAAAAACTGTTAGATACCATTCGTGACCTAAGATGACCTCAGGGCATAAACAGGGATCACGGACACCATTTTCATGTTCAGTGTGTCTAAAACACTTATAATTCAGTGTTTGGGAGTGTTTATAATGTCTTTCGTCCAAAGGAGGCGCATTTCATTTTTCTCCCATTGACTTATAATGGGGAGGTCGCAAAATTGACCTGACCTTAGGTCATCGATATCAAAATTCTGAGATATACATTTTGTACATGCTATTGCTCTTAGCAATCGCTGAAAGTTTCAAAGCGATCGGTCACTCGGTGTAGCTTTGACAGACATTGAAACTTTTTATGAGGTGAGGTCACTTCAAGTGACCTGGTGACCTGACCTTGAATGACCTTGGTCTGAAATTTTCACAACATGTGTAGAATTGATGTATGATAAGGTGTACTAAAAACGTTGCGAAAAACCACAAGGGGTGGGGGGTGTTCAAACACCCCCCCCCCCCCCCCAGCAGGGCGCGGGTTAACCCGTGAAAAAAGCATCTCTTCTGAGCCTGATCACTAGGCGGTCAACCAGTTGCGGCTTCCTACACTCCCTTTACGCAAGGCCCTCCTGGCATCACGGCCTGGACCACCCGAGACCCGAACCCGTCCCTTTGCGACAGTGTCCCTCCAATAGCCGTCCCTTCGCGACAGCGTCCCTCCACCAACCAATCTTTCGCCACCCCCTCCCTCACCCGGCCCGTCCGCCGTCGTCTGACGCTGCCGTCGCCTGGCCGCGGCCTGCGTTATGCATGGACTCGTTGACGGTCCCAACGAGGTCAGCCGAGAGCCAATAGGGGAGAGTGGGGAAAGATGCCCAGGGTTTTGCTATGTCATATATTATTCGAAAATGACGATCGAAAAGCAAAAACTTGGAGTTTCAACGGAAGCCGACATCATTTTTCTCCAAAAATATCACACTTTCGTGCCTGAAATATGATAACTTTTTTTGCTATTAAGCTTTTTCCCGAAGAAGTGAAAGGGGGTATCTTACCCCACAGGGTGGGAAAGACGCCCCCTGGCGTTGGGGAAGATGCCCCCTGCACTATAAGTGACATAAATGGGCACGTGAATCGACTGAACGAATCAGTAGTCCCTTCGAGCCTGCAGTAGACACCAAACGTCATCGTAAGAGCCCTCAAAAGTAGTCGTGAGGGGCTTCAGAGGTCATCGTTAGGACCATCATAGTCCAACGCGGCCAAACAAGCCTCCGTGGTGGCGTTCGGAGACCACTGTGGGGCCCTTATAGGTCTTCATGATGCTTGAGGGCCCTCGAGCCCATCGTGGGGACCTCAGATGCCAGCGCGGCCCGTGGAGGCAACGTGGGAGCCCTCAAAGGATGTCGTGAGGGGCCCTGGAGCCAATAATGGGGCCCACAGAGGCCGTCGTGAGGGCTCTCAGAGTCAGATGCCGCCCAAAAAGTCGCTGTGTGGGCCGAGAGACCGGCATGGGGAGCTCCCGACCGTACTGGACTCTCAATAGTCCCAGATCGGCTTTTGTCTCTCATCACAAGTATGTAATAAATGATTTGACGGGCTGCTTGAAGGACAGCCTATGGATTTAGGGGGGCGTCTTTCCCCATCAGGACAGGGGGCATCTTACCCCAAGGTACAGAATTAACATTAAATCAGTACAATTTGTTAGCCATAAAACTACATCCTGAAACAAACTGTTTGGGACACAGTACACGCATGTTAATGTAGCACGACCATAGCAAGGAACATAAAAATTATTTACATTCTTTGATATTTACAATGTTTTGACACCAAAATATTTTTCGAAAGCAGCAAATAAAAAACATTCTATCACCAGCCAGCCGTTGCCAAACTGAGCTTCGCAAATTTTTGTGCAGTTGACAAGGCAGGCTTCCGCTTTACGCTAAGAACATTAATTTCCAGGTTCGATTCTTTGTTTTGCCGCTAGAGGGGGTGGGGCGTCTTTCCCACCCTGGGCATCTTACCCCACTCTCCCCTATAGAGGCAGACGATTATTACGGGACGGCATCGCCCAGACACCCCCGGCGCCCGGTTATAGGCACCGGCCGCCCGGCCGCAGGGGGCTTCTCTCTCGCATGAAAGGATCCTGTGGTAAGTTGGTGAAAGGAGGATGTAACAGCTCCTTTGCTTATAAATTGAAAAGTTAAAAGCTATAATATTTTCCAAGAATCACAAACCTAACAAAACTTCAAAGTTTGGCACTGAATTCGGATAATCTAACGATTGTTTGAGGCAGCGACTGAAGCACCAGCCGCCCCTGCAAAGTGCTCCTTCCAGTCGCTCGTACTGATGGTTTTTACCAAGCCCTCCTCTAAGTTCACACGCGCAGCGTTGTTGTACTTACGGTCTTCACCGGCGCATGGCATCCCCGGGGCGGGCGGCACACCGGGAAACACTGCAACAAAGAACAAAGGAGTTAGCTAACACGAAACAGACCTAGGGAACTCATCGGAAAACACTGCATCACGGACAAATCAGGGGTGTCAGCTAGCAGAACATAACAGACAAGGGACACAACTGGAAACACCGTATCACAGACAAACAGGCAGCACAGAGCGGATTCTTGAACAGACGATATCAGCTACGGCGCTGGCGCAGGGGAAAGGTTAGCACCGGCGCTGACACAAGGGGAAGGTTAGCCCAGGCGCCAGCGCCGGGCGGAACACAACAGGCGCCAAAACAGACACGATACCGCGTAACGTCACGGACGTCAGCCCAAGGCAGGCCGTGATAACAGGGAGCGGCGGCGCCGCCGACACGCACAGTGAGCACGTCACCCGAGGATACAACATAATACAATGGACTGACTGCGGCGGGAACGCAAACAGAGAACTGAGGAATAAATATAATTCCGCAACATCAAAGCTTTGCGACTCAGCGGCAGTTCAGTCAAGAAAGAAGCAAGAAGTAGGTACCAAGCAATCTAGTAAGACTCGGCATTTATATACTTTATTTATTTGCCGTCCCGAGATGCTATTTTAGTCGGTTCAGAGGGTACACAGTTTCTAATCGCGAGGAGAGAGGCAACTTTGCATCACATACACGGGACGCTTGACGCTTCACGGGCGGTGTAGTTGCCCACACAACACCAAAAGAAGAGACTGCCGAGAGAGGCCACCTCCCTACAAGGGACCCAGGTTTTAATTACAAGCAGCGATATGAACAGCGACCAAACATGCAGAACATCTACAGGGGATGCTGTGGATGCAACTGCGAAAACGACTCTATGGTCATTTGAGTTTTAAGGGCACAGAGGTAATAAAAATGTATCATTTCATGTTTGATAAAAACCCTCCAGCGATGACTTACAAAAAAGTGGATTAGTGTCGTTTTGACGCGTTCTTATCACACACATTTCTCCACCGGGTCGGTCCTGCTGCAGGTTTCACAGATCACCTGCGCCCCTGCCCGATAATGGCCGACGACGGTGCGGCGGCGGCGGCGCCTGCTCCGATCATTACTGGAGCCCGCGGCGCCCGGCTGTCCAATCCACTTCTCCCAGAGGCGGTGGGCGCCTTTGATCTCTCCGGCTGGTGCATCACCCCGTGACCCAGCCCCAGGCCCCGCCACGACGGTCGAGAGACGCCGCCAGCCTTCAGCGCTAACCCGGCATGACTCGGATGGCAACGGAGTACCGTGCAGCGCTGATCACTGGGAAGCCCACGTGTTCCAGCTCGGCGAAATTATTCTACCAAAACTTTCATGCATGAATCAATAATGCAGCTGGTGGATACCATCATAAAAACATACGGCACCTAAAAACATCGAAGCCGACTGATCCGCTTTTCCAGCGACTGCAGTTTCCATTTTAAATATCCGTCCTTACCCAACCGTCACCTTCACGCGGCGGCGGCGGACCGTTTCATTCCGGCCAACTAGCGGCGGATTTATAATCAATCCGCGGCAGTGGGGCCGCACCGGCCGCCGGGCCAGTAATTGGTCTCGCGGCTGGAGCTGTCACACCGAGAACCCTGTCGGATGACAGCCGCAGCGGCGCTCTTCGATCGCACTCTGCGCCGGTGAAGAGCGCTCCGAGCAGAGTTAAGACAAAACGGGAGCACCGCACGCTTACAGGCTGGTAGCGTAGATTGTTTTGAATTTCTTGTTCCTTTTTTGTAGCATTGATTTTAATAACTTGACAACACACAAGGTACAATTCTTAGCCTCCTAAGATATTACCCTTTAACGGTACGCTCTTCTGCAGGGTCACTGACGATTGTGTTGACGGCCCAGTGACCACCGTCCCCCGCCCCCCAAAATACACCCCACCACTTTGCCTGTGCAACACTAGAAACGTCCCTTGGTGCCTCCCTTTCGCTCCAGGGGCAATATCGCCCCTTGCATGAGCGGGTCACTGCTAGCTAAGTGATGAATCTGAACATTTTTCGATGGAGCCCACGGTCGGACCCGGGGGTGACGAGGCCACGGGAAGGCGCCGCCGAGGAGGTGACACATTCGAGTCCAGTGCCCCCTCCGCTCACCCGCCCCCCGGTCCAGTCTGTTTATAGTCAGCGTCGCCGCCTGGCTATAAACAGGACCAGCCAACTTCTCCAAACAAGTCCTAACTCGATAAAGAGGCCAAGCGGCCCGTTCAGAGGGCCGGCTGAGGTCAGCGGCATACCGCGTCCCGCCCCGGTTTGGACTGGGCACCGCTCGATCGATGGGGGCACGGACCCGCCCCGGTGGGCGGTGGGCGGTGTGAAGTTGGAGGCGGACAGTGGACGGTGGACCACGCAGCATTCCCCAGAGGGTACCCTAAATACACTGTTTACGAACACGATACGAATCAACTGTCACCACCTAAAAGTCAGTTGCGCAAGGCCTTTGTGTGGAATTTGATGTCTTCCAATATCAGAGAGATCTGCACGAAGCTGTCAACGCTACTGAATTCACGACTGCGGAGTTCTATAGCCCACACTAGCCTACCCACTCGTAGAAAAGCTCTGAAAGATATCTCTCGATCGTCGCCCGTCTTTCAAAGCTTCTGAGTGTCACTTCAGGCTAACGACGAGCCCGCAAAAACATCGATTTCCCGTGAAGTAAAAACCTTTCCATTTAACGACCAACCATTCTTCAAGCAAGGCTCTCGCACATTGGCGTCAAAACAGCACGGATTTATGGGTTGCGTTGGCTCTCGTGAGGTCATTCGACGGACAAATTACCGGCCGTACGAGAAGGGTTACCTCAGAGATGATCCCCAGGGCTCAATAACGTCACTTGCGCCGCAGCCTGTTACAAGCTTGCCGGTGACGCTGTTGGAGTTTAAACTGGTCCGAAGGGCCGGGTGGGAGGAGAGGCCCTTATCAACCGTTGCGGTAGTCGTTAGTTGGAACATTGTTTTGCTGATGGGATGGACGAACTCGCAAACAAGCCCTCTCCAAAGGCAAATGCCGCTGCCAGATCCAACGCAGAGTACGTTTCAGATAGATTAGTTCGCCAACGCCAAATGACAGTCGGCTTTGGTCGGCCCCGATCGGAGCTACAGCGGCAGTGCTGAAAACACGTCCGCCGGTAAATTTCTGTGCAGATTTCCGGTCGGCATTTAGCCGGCGTCCCAGCCGTCACATTGCGCCCAATTTACATGCACGGCTGCGCGCCGGCCGAAACGCCAGCAAACTTCCCCGTGGACACGCCCGGCCCGGACGGACTTTTGCAGCGCATATGGAGTTTTCCCAGGAATCGTCAGATTCCCCGCGGACGAGACGACTGCACCAGGAACAATTGTGTGCTGCACGCTCGCGGTGTTCTGTCGGCCGGAGGTGGCGCCATGCAGAGCAGCTTGCGGAACCCGTGCTCAGTGGAGGCGGCCCGCCATGACGCCCTTCGCAGTCTCATTGGCCCGTCCGGCAATGTCGCTCGGCAACCGTGACGTCACCAGCTGACGCAAGTGGTATGTAATGACGTCATAAACGGAATTCGTCTTAATTTTGGACCCGGCAGCGAGCGCTGCCATTTCAGGAGCTTTCAATTGCAAGGTCACGTTGCCATTCTGCATGTTTTGGGGGTCTATGCGGTAGAAAGAACATTCCTGCTAATTCTTCGATGCTGAAATGCGTTACAAATGTAGCTTAGTGAGCTCGGAAAAGAGGCTACTATATTTTCATTGCACTTAAAACGACGTGCCGTCGTTTCGAGCACGGGCAACCTCATGTGATTTCTTCGAAACACAACGGCTATATAAGACGTGGCAGTCACAGCGGCTATGTAAGACATGACAGTCACGACTGAGCGCCGAAACCAGTGTGGCGACATGAAAGGGCCGAGCGCTTTAGCATCAGAAAGGTACGGCGAATTATATAAATCCTTCCATCGGCTGCCAGGCATCGTACAGTCCAAACAGGACAACACCAAACATCGGCAATAGGGGACTCAGATTGCAAAGCCCCACCAGGCATAGGCGACCTTGTTTGGAACAGCCGTAGGGTCTGGCTGCGCACCAAGCCTCACGTCCCATTTTGATTGGAGTTTCATGTAAATCAGTGGCTAGTCGAAAGCCAGACGACCGAGGACCATCGCCCACGTAGACACAAGACAGGAACATAGCCATTCAAATGAAACAGCACGTAACAAGCCAGATCGACCCTCCCATTTTCTGTACCCATGAGCGGAAACTCGAAAACGGAAATCCGTAAAGCCGCGATAATGTAAAAGAGAACTACGTAGTACGTAGCAAAATAAAATGTTGGCAGAAGATAGAGTAGGCGACGTCGTCTAAACTTGTTTAGAAGAGTAGTTGCCTGTCACGAGCTACCCCTCGTGACAGACACGAGCGGTAGCTCGTGCCTGTCACAGCGTAGTCACGAATGGTCACAGAGGTGTCACGAATAGATCACGAGGTGCCACCGTAGCATAACGGGATAGTCACACTTCACGAATGGGTCAGGACTCACACGGTAACACTGACGTCATGGCCGTACTGGGAACGTTACGAATTCAATGAGTACTGCACCACAGCTGACGATACATTAGTCTATGGCATTACGCATGTATTGGTTATATATTCAATATCATGAGTGAGGAATGCAAGCATCTTTATATGAAACATGACGATTTTCAAATCCTAGTGTTAGGTAGTTGATTAGCACAACGAAATCTTTTTTATACCATTAGTTAGTATTTACTATGGGTTATCATTTCTTATGACCACGTCCCGTCTATCCTTAACAACGACCCGGTTCATCAAGGAACATTTCACGGATAATCGAGTGTACGCCACGGCCCATTTAGTACCATTCGCCCAGCCACGGGAACGTATCATGTCAGGGTCGGAGATCCCAGTATAGTTCATCAAAGTGTGCTCAGTCGACCAATGAAAATGTCCCTTCTTTGCAAGCCAGCGGATTTCCCCTGCCGCGCTTAACAAAAGTTTTGCAAGATAATAAGGCAACGTATTTA